CTTGGTTTAACCATGACAATTCCCTAGAATCAAGGTTGGTTCAAGCTAGCAATTCCAAGGCTTGGAATGACCTAGATATGATATATTGAATCAAGCTTGGTTCAAGCTAGGAATTCCAAAGCTTGGTATCCTAAGCTGATCCAAGCTTGGACCCATCGTCCAAGCTTGGATTTCCCCACCTGGGTACGTGCACATAAATTACAATACGCATTATTTTTGTGCTCGTTATAGCCTTATACGTCGAAAAATGAAGAGCATTTTCCTCGCTCCATAAAACTATGTGCACATCTTTTCAAATTAAATAAGTTCGATGTGGACGATTTTCAAGAAAATTATTAATCTTTAATTCGTGTGTACATTTTTTTGTACACATCTTATATTATCTGCACACTGAGAAATGACACTGTGTACAACTTGATAGAGCGGAATTTTTTGACCACACTTGAGGTGCACGTTAAAAAATTAAATGCGCATATTTTATTTGATGTTTCCATCTGTGCACAAACTTAATTGTGTACAATCCTTATGTGCATGACTCATACCCTGTCTTGTGAATGACCGGAAAACGGAGAAAAATACATTCGCGTATGCACTAAGTATCTGTAGATTGTCGGAAAATTTTATGACTTTCATCGGACCCTTGAACTGGAATCAGACGATCGTGGTAGAGCTAAAATTTTTATTTCTTCCCAATTCCCTGTTGCCCAGAGTGTAGATTTTCTTGATAGGTTGAGCCCACGTATACGTCGTAAAAATCAGAGAGATAACCTCGCTGGACATTGAAAGGAAATTTTTAATACATGGCCCGATCCATGTCTATATTTTTATTGCTTTTCTTTCCCGAAAAACTCGTTAGGTTGTTTTTATAATGATAAATCATTAAAACCACTGGAGATATTCATATTAATATTGCTAAAATGAAGATATGGATACAAACCAAGGAATAACCAAGGTTGGTACAATCTTGAATTCCAAGCTTGAGCCAAGCTAGCTTAAGCTTGGTCCGAGCTTGGGCCAAGCTCGGACCAAGCCTAACCTAGCTTGGCTCAAGCCCAAGCTCGCACCAATGGTTAATCCCCACCTGGGCGCCTAATAATTGTGATTTTTGATTTTTTCTGTTGGAGTTTTGGTGCCAGATGGCGTGCTAATGGACGGAGTATTCCGTGAACCTCTGAAAAATACGTCACCATATATATATTTACAATATATATGTGACAAAACATATAATATGTATGTTATTCGAGCAGGTTGGTGATAATAACGGAAATTTCCAGTACACGAGAAATGGAGCACTGGCCACTTTGGTGACGGTCACCAAACACATCACGCGTGTGATATGTCTCATGTGAGGGGGATGGCCCACTGCAAATTTGACACCACCCACGCAACCCCTTCAAAGTGCCGAAAACAAGAACGCGAAAATTCTTGTTCAATCTCCGGAAAAATGGAGTTATTATGTTATTGTAAAAAACATGGTCGGGATGGGACCAAGGCGGAAATTACGTGCACTGTGAGGAAGAGCATGAGGTGAGCGTCATTTTCCATTCGAACACTATATGCTTGCGTGATCCGAGCAGGCAGCATATTCCAGCGATGCGCCAGTTGGAAATTGTGTTTTACCAACCACAATTAACAAATTATTGGGAGCCTTGAACAGCCACCAGGGAACAAGAGTCGAAATGATGATATTTTGGTATTTTATTAATTTTATTATTTTGGATTTTTTTTGGTTATATCTAGTTGTTGTCATCGCTTATCGATGGACAATTGCAACGCAGGACTACGGGGGACAATGAGGATTCGTGGATTTTGGATGTTGTGGCTTCAGCAGTCTTTTTGGAGGGACCATACCATTTAAATGGATGTCCTGTCCGCGCATTGAGTCCTAGTGGCGAGTGAAGACAAGAGATGGCGCCATCGGATGGGCCAGAGATTTTGGAGGAGATTTGGAGGATATTCGCCGACGGACTCTAGAAAATTCCGAGCGAGGGAATTGTTAATTAGTCTCCTGATTATTGGACATAATTAATTAATTCAGGCAATGCGTGGTTTGACATTTCTGAATTATTATTGCAATAATTTGAGTTATGCCGGCTTAGCCGATAATATATCGAAAATACTGTTGGCTGGTGAAACGTTACGTAATTACGTTTCACCAGACTTTGATTAATGGCCAATCAACTAATCGATTGTAGCCTATTGTTAGCCAATCAAATGATTGGTAACATTCTATTGGACGACGCTTGATTTGGTGTCGGTTTATCTAACACTCATCGTGTGGACATCAACTTGGACACGTTGTGCGATAGTATAGTGTATTTTGAGACATCGCGGAAAATTGGTAATTTTGGAAAACTCTTATGGCTGGTGTCGAGGACGAAATTACTTGTTGGAAGAGATCTAACGCCACTGATTTAATTGATTGGATATCGGTAAGCGTTTGGACACTTCCGAAAAATTGATGTACGGTTATTTGATAAATCGTTAAAGATTTTAATTTGTTAAGCTTGGCGTCCTTTCCATTGTTTAGTTTATTGAAACTATTTTCTTAAATATTTTTTTGATTTAACGGAAATTGGACTTATGGCGTCGATAGCGACGCTCGAGTAGTTTTGGCAAAGTGCCCTTCAAAGGTTAAAGAATTTTTCGGGAGTTTATAAACTCGAAATAATTCCAGTTTCTCGTGTTTAGAGTAGCGCTAACAATACCACTTGTTAATTGTGTTAACCTTCGAGAAATTATTAAAGTCCTTATTTCAGATAATCGGTTATTTAATTTTTGACTTAATCATTTCTTCAAAATATTATTTTTCATTTGATTCTGTGACTTAACTTATATTTTGACATTGACTATTTTTTTAAAACAATTTTTAACAAATATTTGGCTTTGTAAATTGACGCAGTTTGGCTAGTTTGGATTGTTAACGAAGCGATTAGGGATTTTTTATTTATATCGAGT